TGTCCCTGGCCTTGTTTTGACTGATGATATGGAGCTTTTCCACAGATGTAGTCAATTTGATTTCTATGTGTCCCATCTGGCAAGGTCCATGTGTATAGTCGTCTTTTATGCAGTCTAAATAGGTATTTGAACTAAACAAATCAGTGATTTTGCAGAATTCTATCATGCGTTCTCCAGCATCAATTTCTATCACCATTCCTCTTCAATTTGTCATTCCCAGCATCATAAGCCATGTGGTTGTCAGATTCAAAATGGCCAATACAAATCTATTTCAGCTCACTAATGCCTAAAATATTGATGTTTATGCAGTCTATTTCATTTTTTACAATTTCCAATTTTCCTAGATTCATACTTCGTACATTCCATGTTCTGATTTTTAATGGATGTTTACAGCTGTTTCTCTTCATTTTGAGTTTTGCCCCATCAGTAAATGAAAGTCCCATGGGCTTTACTCCCATGGGCTTTACTCTATTTGTGTTATCACGGTCACCTCTACTTTGAGGAGGTGGCTCTTCCCCAGTCGCATTTTGAGTGCCTTCCAACCTGAGGGGCTCATTTTCTGGCACTATATCTGACAGTGTTTCTCTGCTATTCATAAGGTTTTCAGTGACTGAATATTCAGAAGTAGTTCATCACTCCTTGATCCTCATCTGTCTTTGTCTGGAAGCTCATCTGAAACCTGTCCACCATGAGTGACCCTGCTGGTTATTTAAAATACCAGTGGCATAGCTTCCAGAATCACAGAAACTCACAAGCCACCACAGTACGACAAGCTGACAGATGAGTGGTAGCCAGAAGAAATAGATGATAACAAACTACCACTACCAGCTGCTCTGAAAGGGATCACATTAGAAGGTCCCAAATAGAGTAGGAGAAAACATAGAACAGAACTCAAAATTATTTTAAAAGAAAGAAAGAAAAGACCAGGCTTATTGGTCAGAAAGAAACGAGTAACCTGAGACCATAGCCCTCGACCACCCTTCAGGTCTGGAAAGGAACTCACCACCATGGCCCATTTTTCAGCCAAGCAGTAGGTAGGTATAGAGGAGGGACAAAAATACTAGTACGGTATGCTCACCATAGAACAGCCAATCATTCCAAATCCAAAGAATAACACTGAGAAGGGCTAGGACAGAAGATGGAATGAAAACAGGAAGCACAGGGAGGAAGTGAGTAAATGCTCTTGCATGGAGGGCATTGCAATGACTGAATGGAAACAAAGTGTAGGATTTGTTACATGTAAAACTGATGATCTTATCTGTAATCCTTCACTCAATTCACAATAAAAGGTAAAAAAATAAAAGCACACATTGAATATATGTAAAGCTCTTTAGAAAACATAAAACATAATAAAAATATGTTTACTTTTTATAAAAATGCTTTCATTATTTCATATACAAATGGTTTTCTTCTTGTTCCCATTAGCATTATATATTAAGCTTTTTTTTTTTTCTATTTTATTAGACACACTATATAAACATTACTGTCTCGGCTACTTTAAAACATGCCATGTGTTTACTTAATTGCTCCATAAATTTTATATTTTGGTTAGTTCTAATGGTTTTCAAATATCAGTAATATAGAGGTGAACATGATTTCATATGATACCAAAATAGAGTGAACCCAAGAATATGAACATTCTGTATGAGCATTCACTATGTGGAGAAACATATCCAGCTGTAAGTAGATCTGATGATTATCAGGCATGAACTGGACTGAAGTTGTTGTTGTTGTTGTTGGGTGCCATTGAGTCGATACCAACTCACAGCGACCCTATGACTGAAGTAGACAAGACTTTTATCAGGGATATACAATCACTGAGGACACTGGTGATGCTTGTAAATGACTGACTGTTAATTGGTCACACTGAATTGAAAATGCTGCAAATGCTGCTATCTGTATTTTTATAGCAGTAAAAAATAAAGTAAGCGATAAATAAGGGAAAAGGAGTAAGAACAAGAGGCTACTTATAATACAAAAAACAGAATCTGCTAAAGTTAATCTAGAAAAACAAGTGAATAATTTTAGGAGAAAGATGTGTGCGGCTGCAGTGTAGAACACAGTGGGCAGGTGGGAAGACTCCAGGTCTGCATTGCACATGTGATGACTCAGATACATGACAGACAGGAGAAGAGAAAGAAAATTGGAGGTCTGCAAATAAATGTTCTGACCAACACGACAGGTATGCAGAGTAGGGGCAGAGGACATAAGAGGCTGGAGATGATTGAAGCACAGGACTTGATGTTTATTTTGTAGTCCCAAGAGCTCGCCTCAGGCTACTTCCACATTCAGATGATGTGATTTTCCATTAGTGTAGGGGCTAGTAGTACTTATGAATATACAGCTAGTCCACAGACAAAGTACAAATGCTGTCATTGCAAACTCCCATTCAAAGTGGAATCAATTGTAAAAACAAAAGGACAAAGCAGAGCACTTACCAGAAGCCCAGAGGAGTGGTGAGAGTGTATGCTTTGCCCTTGGGAGCTGCAGTGGAGAGGAGGCGTGGTGAGGTTGGGATTGGTCTCTTCCTTTTTGCCATTGTTAGTCTGCCTGTTATTGCTAATCCAACAGAAGAAATTGAAAACCATGATGTATAAAGTAGAAAACCATGACTCTTTCAGTATTTGTGCAGAACCAAAATTTCCCCAAACTCCATTTCCTCATTTCATTATATACAAATTTTATTTTTAAGAGAGAGAAACATAGAGGGAGAGGGGCTGTGTGCTGACAACTGAGGGCCTAGGGGCAGGCTTGCCCTTTTATTGTTTGATGATGCATGGAGGGGATGGTATACATGGCAATGAAACTATATACGATAGGATGAATGTGAGGCTAATGTTCTCCCATGTAAACGAACACATTATTCACAATAAAAACTTAAAAAAAAAAAGTAACAAACATTATCAATATTATTTTTTAATTATAGGACAAACTCTTTCAAGGAATCATCAGAAATAAGGATAAGAATAGTAGCAAAGATGCTTACTGGAGAATCATTTTAATATCCTATTACTTTTGTATTAACAAACATGAATGTTGTTTTAAACAACACTCTTGCATGCAATGATAAGATGAAAAATACATAAGTAAAATGCTAAGCTCAATGCAAATGAATTTCAGGTCAGGATATAAGACTGTACTGATAGCCAGCTAAACCACCTTGATGATGGGCTCAATGAAGGGCTGAAACCTAAACTTCAGATTAAACACCGAGGACTGCTATCCAAGGGTATTGCGATCTTGCATGATAATACAGATCCACACACCTCTGCCCATACTATTGACACTCTACAAAAACTTCACTTTAAGGTACTAAAGCATCCTCCCTATAGTCCTGATCTTGCTCCATCAGAGTTTCACCTCTTTGGTCACCTGAAAGCAACACTTTGAGGATGAATATTCATCTCTGATGAAGAAGTGAAGACAGTGGTGCATTCATGGCTGGCAGCTCAGCCTAAAACATTTTTAATAAGGGAACATGAAAGCTTGTTGAAAGATGGGCAAAGTGTACTGAAAAGCAAGGAGATTATGTCAAAAAATGATGTATTTGTCTTTTCTAACTAGAGTGTGGATAATTTTGGACTCACCCTCATAGAGTGTATATGTGTGTGTTTGTCTGCACTGACATATTTTCATAAACAACTACAAGCTGAGAAAAAGATTTTTCATAAAAATTTGAACATTTGCCTCATAAAGTGATACATTAATTGGGAAACGTTACCTTGGAGTTTTATAGTTCATTCTATGCTCACTTGTGGATTCTTTGTCTGCATTTGGCTTCTCTTGCATTCTGGAGGGCCTCTCCTGAATGACCCCCCCCTTATCAAACATGACGTGCAGACGATAACTGACCAACTTGATTACTGCGAAGAACACAGTCACTGAACTGCAGTATAAAAATACAGTGATCGCATTTGGAGGAAAAGCCTAAAAGAAAAAAGAAAGACATGAATTTACTAAGTACTGACAGCCATTCGATTATATGATTGTCTTTTTGTTTGTTTAACATCTGAAAGCAGTTTTGAGTCTATTTTATTGAGCATAAATTGGACAACTTTTCAAATTTCATTATTTTAAGTTCTCTGGATTGTAATATCTGAAGAGAAAGAGCTGCTTTTTCCCTTTGTTTAGTCTTTCTTGTTTCTCTGGTTCTTGTGCTAGTTGGGTTGGTAAGCAACAATGGATTTGTAAGCAGAAACCCACAGAAAAAAGTGAAACTTCCTCTTTTTCTATTAGCTGTTTTTCATAGCTTAATTCTATCTTCCTGTGCATCTGCTCTTAAAGGCCAGAGGGAGGACTCTGAGATGCTGTTTCCTTCAATGAAACACAAACAGCTTCATGGAGACTTGTGAAAAGATAGGAGGGAAAGGTTAGATTGTGTCCCCATCTTTCACCTCCCAGACCTTCCACTAGGCTCCCAGAGGGCCCTGGGTGTCCCTATGGTGGCAACAGACAAGAGCACACAAAAAGGGATATACGCTGTTTCTCCAAGGAAGAAAGGTATATCCAGTAGTGACAAGTGATCCTAACATGGAGATTGTGGTAAAGTTCGATTTAGTTCTGTCCAATCTGGTAGTGTAGTGGTTACGAATCTGGCGGCTAACCTCAAGGTTGGCAGGTTGAAACTACCAGCCATTCCGTGAGAGAAAGATGAGGCTTTCTGCTCCCATAAAGATTTACAGCCTTGGAAACCCTGTTCAGGGTCACTATGAGCCAGAACCGACTCCACGGTACTTAACAACAACAATCCTCTCAAGAAGCAAAAAAGAACCACTTGTGGTCCACGTTAGTAACTACCCCATCCCTCAGGATCTCCCTCGTGTCTTCCTAATTCTCTTCCAGGATGAAGGACCATTACAGGCTCAATGGCCCTTCACAAAACTGGAGTCTTATCTTTCGGGATACAGAAAGAGTATTAGAATCTTTTATCACTGAGGCTTTCTGAAGAGCCTCAGAGAACCAGTGATAAATCCTGGTCTGTGTGAGGCCTAAAGACAGAATGGTCCTGCCAGCTCTGCTCCTAAAGCAGACCCTGCCCAACCTGCCCGAGCCTATCATGATTCAGCATGAAGGTCAAATGGCCCTTGAATCAAAATATCCCACCAAAAAGGATTATAACGAAAGAGAAACACAACAACCAACATGTACAATATGTAACAGCTATTTTCACCATCACTTACTCATTTTTAAGAGTAAATATAAATTAATATAAACTAAAGAGCTCTGGGAGCATAGTGGTTACGAATCGGACTGCGAACCGCAAGGTCAGAAATTTGAAACTAACAGCTGTTCCGCAGGAGAAAGATGAGGCTTTCAGCTCCTGTAAAGATTTACAGCCTCAGAAACCCTGTACAGGGTCGCTATGGGCCGGAACCAACTCCACAGAAGATAACCACCACCAATAAGTGAATGGAGTCCTGGTGTAGTACTGTGGGCTAATGTGTCAGACTGCAAAGTCGTTGGAACTGCAAGGTCGGTGGTTCAAGCTCATCAACTGCTCCTTGGAAACGCTATACAGGGTCGCTATGGGTCAGAATTGACTCGACAGCACTTAACAACAACAACAAAAATAAGTGAATAAAAAAAACATAAGATATTATCAGTAGATAAATGGTAGATACATGCATAGATAGATCGATAAATATTTTTTTGTTAAGTGCTGTTGAGTCCTTTTCGGCTCATAGCAACCCTGTATAGGGTTTCTGAGGAGCAATTGGTGGGTTTGAACTATTGATCTTGTGGTTAGCAGTCCAGTGCTAATCCTACAGCACCACACCAGGTAGATAATGAGTAAATGAAGGTCCCTACCTAAAAGGTTATAAGTTTCACAGTATGGCAACATTTCCTTATGTGACACCATGAAACACTATATACACGTGATGGTAAGACAAAAAGTTTGCTCCTAGGGTTTTATTTCATATATGTCCAGGTTTTTTCCAAACAGGATGTGTTTCAACATGTCTCAGCAATCAGTGGATGGAGGCAGACAAATTCTCTCAGTAATATATTAATCTTAGGTTTTTAGAGTGTCTTCAAGAAAGAAAAGAATACTTTTTGAGCCATGAGGAGGAAAAGGATTTTGTGGTCAGGGCTAACATCAAGTTTTTAATAAAACTCAACTTCCTAAATCATTGAAGTTTTGCAACAAGTTTATGGGAATAAACAATAGTTTTTAGAAGATTAAGCATTTTAAGGAATGTAAGGAAGACCTTAAAGATAAATCAAGATAGGGAAGACCATCAGCCTGCATGAATGAAGAAACTGGCTAAAGCCTAAAAACTGGTGAAAACAAGATTTAGAATTGTCACTGATGTAATAATAACTGAAATTGAGATTTTACATGGTTCATCACTTTTAATTTTAAGAGAATGTCATAACCTCAGAACTTGAGCATAAGTTTGGTAATGTTGAAATCAAGAAGTTATAAATTAGAGTTTGACATTAACATGATCTTTACTGTCTAAGTTCACAGCTTGTCTCATCCTCCATGAAAGACTGCCTGACACTCTGTCATGTCTCTGGAAAGCCAATGCACCTCACAAGGCCCAAGTGAGAAGCAAATATTTTACTCAAAATTCCCTAGGGAGAGAGGAAGAGCATGACATTCCCAACTTTCCCCAATTCTCAGCTCTCATGTTTCCTTTAAAACTGCTCCCCCTTCAGTAAAACCATCCAAACAAAATAGAATCACCTTATGGTTTGAATGGGTAAAAGGGGAGAAATAA